TGCTGCTGTTCGGTCCTGGCTGCTGCTGTCCTGGCTGCTGCTGTTCAGTCAGTAAGCCGGCTGTCTTACGGCAAGCCAAACAGCTTCCATGCTTCCAAAAATCATTTCAATGGAGCTCCGAAAACCGACAACCGACTGCGTCTCTGTCTTTGTCTCTGTCTCGGGATCCGGGCCATGGCAATGGCACAACGTACTACGGCAACGGTAAAGGTAGACAAACACACACATACACACACACTCCCACGCACACAAAATGGCTGCCGTAGCGTACAAAAAGTGTCATGGCGCATGAAAAACTTCCTGGCCATGGCCAGGACATCATCATGTGCCTTGGCCGCAAAACAATGGCGGCAGCTCCTCACATTGCGGCGGCAACCGCAACGGCAATCCACAGATCTACAATTTTTGGCCAAATGAAAGTCGCATTGTCGGGCTCAATGTTTCCGGCGGCTTATGGAGGCACAGCACGGCACGGTCCGGAGTGGCAGCCTCTTTGCCTGTGGCCTGAAACAAAGCGCATCCGTTGGCGAAAATTGAAATGACAAAGTTCAAAGTTTAAGCGGCTTGGCTGTCGCTCGCTTGCTCGCTTCACTATTTTTTTTTCTAGTTTGTTTGCTTTTAAGTCGACCTGCAGCGCAGTCACCTGTCGTCCAATCTCGGCCTGTCCATAGCTAATCGGCATATTTAAAGGACATGCAAATTAAACGCAAATGAAATTGCCTGCAGTTAAACGCGCTTTACCAGGGGCTTAATAGCCCACAACAGCAAATGCACTGCAAAAGTCATAAAACGAAAGCCAGCTACGGCCACGCCCCCCGCCCATCAAACGACAACCCCTTTGCTGGAGCCAAACAAAAACATTTGCATACTTTTAAGCGCAGCTGAGAAAAATCACTCATACGCACACGTCTCCATTACAGAAGGGGGCGTAACAAGGCCCTGTGGGCGTTCAACCTTACCCAGCTGTCTGGTTTTTGGCCTTGTTGTCGTTGTTGCTGTTGTCGTTGTTGCTGTTGTGCTATTATAACGGTATTTGCATTGTGTTTAAACGTATTTGAACACGAGGTCGACGTCGCTCGTCGCCCGTCAGGGTAGCTCAGCTCCTGCTCTCGATTTGAAAGGAAACTGGTGGGAAATTCACTTTGAATTTAGCTGGTGGGGCAAGTGCTTACCAAATGAGCAGGCAATTTATTTACGGTCAAATTGCGAGGTTAGGCAAAGGCAAACAATGCGCAGGTCGCACGGCAAGCATGAAAACCACGCAGCCTGCCTTCTGGGCTGCGTGTGGGCGTAAAAATGTGATAAATATGAAATGTGATTATGGTCTGCTATTATATAGCCGCCGCCATGATGAGGCTTATTATATGGAGTTGCCACTGCGGTTGCCCAGGGCGTCGTTTTGACTGAGTGGCTGCTCAGTCCGACGGGTGGCACACAGGGCGCTGCTAGCTTAAATGAGGAAATGTGATTTTGACGATGTGTTGGCTTAACGAGACGCAAACAAAACTCTGCGCGCCTGTCTCTGTGTGTGTGTGTGTATAGGGGAAGTTGTAATTGTTTTTAAAGGAAGTTGGAATTGCTCATTGGGGAAATGTATAAAATAAATCAGTGGCAATGGACGCCAAGTCCATTGTAAACTGCAATGATATAAGTCATGTAAAACTATAATAATAGTAAGGCAGGGCTAGTGGTTTAGTTTAATATGCGTATCGTTTTAATATTAAGTGGGATGATAAAAGACAAGAGCGATTTATATAGTACTCAAATCAAATGATTGCTTTTTTATGTAAAATTTCATTTCATTCACCTCTGCTCAACTTTTGATACAATTAAAACTATGGGTGCGTAGCTGGCGGAGGCTTTATTTCGTAAACTTAGGATTTGGTTTCAGCTTTGGCTGTCACTGTTATAATTAATTAATAATATCTATATATTAATTGGCTTCTTCTGACTGATGGACTGAAAGATTGACTGACTGATTTCTGATCACCGCGCAGCCCAAACTCGTAATCTTATGGGATGAAGGTGCTCGTTAAGACTCGGGTTTCGGAAAATTCCACCCGCAAGTGTAGCTTACCATCCAATCGGCCTCAAGCTCAATCTCAAGGGTATTATAATTTTGTCTTGAAATGTGTAACACATAGAAGAAGACATCTGGCCCCATAAAGTATATATATTCTTGATCAGTATCAACAGGCCCGTCCGACTGTCTCCTTCTATGCTATCATCATAAAACTTTGCATATGTCCCTTATTCTGTTGCAGTACATGTGTGAAATCGGACCACTATATGATATAGTTGCCATAGGAACGATCGGTTGAAAATGAGGTTCTTGCATGAATAACTTTTTGTTTTGCAATATATCTTAACCATACTCGGCATTAACTATTTTCTTTAAGGCGTTATAAGCATTGTAAAGAGGTTCGTTCTCGCTTAATATATGTTTCAATATATGTTTGGGTTCGGCTGTTCTTATTCCAAACTTAAGGCTTAAGAGCTTAAGTTTAAATAAAAAATTATATTAACGGTTCTGGTTCCATTTGAATACAATGACAAGAGCAAATTTGGGGCTGTGGCTGATTATGCTGTTGAAACAACTCCCATTTCCATTTGCTAACATCTTACATTTAACGTCTCGCATTAACTTTCAATCGCTTCCATCAATTTGTTCACCTTTTAACAACTAAGCTGACTTTTCTGTCTATTCCACACCTTCCATGTTCAATGTCTTTATCAAGTGGCTGCGGCGGTGAACACAAGGCCATAAAACGCTAATCCCATCATGGGAACAATGCGAACAAGTCAGGAGCAGCGGTTAGGGTGGCGGGAGGGGAGCTGCGTTTAGCCACGCCATCAATTGATACATCAGTTGATAAATCCAGAGATCCTGTGAGAATCGCGTGGCATACTGGCACGGGCTAACAGGATTTGGCCACGCTAAATCAACGCGATTTGCTGTGGCTCATTTGAGTGCAGCAAACGAGGCATCCTCCACGGCACCCACCACCCAAGACATTCGTTGCGCTTTGTCGGAATTCGGCATGCTACAAATTCTTGGCTCATGGGAATCGCTACAGACTCAAAGGAGGGTTGCCAGTTGAGTGTAGAATTATTGAAATTCGAAAATCATTTCTGTCCAAAGCACTTGAGCGAACTCCTTGTGCCAAAATAAGTTGCCAGCAGTATGCCATATTAGTTGCGGTGTCTATCGTCTGATTTTGTGTTTTTTTTTTCTGGCTTCCGACTACCCTTCATTTTTGTGTGCGGATTCCGCATCTTGTTTACAGCTCTGTTCCCAGACCCAGTGTCAGCTCATTAGCGTCGCCAGCGCCGTTTTTGTTGCCGCATCTAATTGCTGCATACGCTGCCCGATTTTTGGGCTGCATGTGACCGACCCAACGGTTGCAGCCCCTCCCGCTATTTTGGCTTCATTGCGCTAACAAGGCCAACATATTCTCGGGCACTCATATGGCGTATGTTTTATCAGAGCATGTGCCGCTTTTTCTGAGCCTGGGAACCTATGTTTTTTCGCGGCCTGACAACTGCTGGCACTTTGAGCTAAAGTATTGTTACATTTGAAGAATTTAATGGTTCGACTGAAAAATACATGAATAAACATTTTAATCAAATGAGAATAAAACCGTAGAATTAAAGGGAATTTTTGATAAATCAAATAGTATTAGTATGGAGTATGGGGTGGAGAATCTGGGCAAGAGTTCTTCTCCTTAATCTCCTGATGGGACGGCACCTTGAAGAGTACTAGCCAGCCTGTTGGCGTGTGTGGCTAGCCGGTTGTTGTATAGAGCGCAGTTGGTCCTGATTTGGTCTTCGACCCAGGGGAGGACGCTGTTGAGCACGTAATGTGGCACATTAGGCATACGGCGATTGAAGTCTCTTTCTATTTGAAGGAGCAGCCAGCCCCAGATCTGTATGGCGCATCGCCAGATGGGTGCGACAATTTGTAAGTAAACAAGTCGTTTACTTGCTAAATCAAATTGTGTTTAATGTTCTTCCACATCGTTTTTCATTTTTCGATTTGAAGTTCTATCTATCAAAGTACTCGGTTTGGAAGATCGGTGTGGTTGGATCGTGCCAAATCTCCGTCGCTTTCTTCTGCAAAGCCTTCTTGCCAGTATATCAGGGTGAGCACAAAGGCAGCCCACGTAGCTGGTGAACTGCTTTAATAAAAGGTTGCCCACCAAAGGGAGCCTTAGATCTTTTCCCAGGGCCCGGTCGTCGATATACCAGGTTGCCTTACAGTACTAAGTTTGAGAGAAGCTTGGCTTGGAAGACTTGAATTTTTATCCAATGTCATTTTTCTACTACTCCAAAGATTTGGCTTGCATACTGACGAGCTGGGAAATTCAAATATATATTCAATCTATTTATTTAAGCTTTATATAGTTGTCCGTTTACATCATATATTAAAATAATAAAGTTAGGCCTAACTTGAAAGGAACAGATTAACAAGTTAGGGATTAGTTTGTATAAAATTCTCAGATTCGACTACTTGTAGAATAGAAAGAGAATTGATATAGAAAAATGATAGATCATGATTGGAATAAATCGATAAATACCTCTTAAACAATCTGGAAGAACTTACCAAAGCCATGCCTAAACCAAATTCTTGACCATTAAAAATGTGATGTATTTGATTTTAATAACAATCAGATATTTATTTAAACATTAAGTCACACATCAAATGTTAAATTATTGGAGCATTAAACTTAGGTCTAGTAATTTACAAAGATAAAACGGGGCAACTCGAGAAGCTGCCTAGAGCTAATCCGATGGGGAATAACCAGATATTTTAGATAGTGGACTTTACGAGATAAGAATTGCACTATATTTATGGCTAATTGTGAAACTTAAATTGGGCTTGAACTAAACTTAATATCACAATGGAGAAACATTTCTGGATGTGGGGTGGGGGGAGGAGTGTTACGGACTAGACTAACAAAACACGCTGCAGCTTAAAAGTATCCGAAGAAATGTTTGGATCATTTGGAGCCACCTCCAGATCTACGTCCTGGCGGTGTGCCGCCACCCACATTGATAATCTCATTGTCGTTGTTGGACTCCTCCGGCGTTGGCTGATGATCGCTGGCCTTGTCCTGATGCGCGGTCATGTGCCGCGTGAGATGATGCCGTTCGCGAAATGTCTCCTGACAGACGGGACAGCGCAGTTTCTCCTCGCGCTTGCGGCGATTCGGATCGCAGGCCACCTCGCTCTTGTGGTGGGAGCGCATGTGGTAGACCAGATCGCTGGTCATGCGGAAGCTAATGTTGCACTTGGCGCACACATTCTGTGCGGTCAGCGTGAAGGTGGAAGCCAGCGTCGGTGGTATGAGCGTGGAGAGAATCGCTGCTGCAGCGGGATTTTGCAGTGGCTGAGCCACCGCAAAGGGATGCGGAGGATGACCAAATCCTGGGTAAGCGGCATGCAGAAACTCCGGTGGCGGACCCGTTGGCGGCGATGAGGGATTCGATGAGCAGCCATTGGGACTGTGGCCATTGGGCGCCGTGGGCGGCCTGTAGAGCAGTTGCTGTTTGAGTCTCTGCTGTGCCTGAAGCGCCTGCATGGGATTCACGGCCTGAAAGGCGCCATTGAACTGATACTCGGGCCGAAAGTTGTGGTACATGATGGGATTGCTAGGCATGCCGTTGGGTAAAGTGTTGGGCGCTGTTGTATTGTTACCACCACCGCCACCTCCACCGCCGCCGCTGCTGGTGCGCGGTGGAGGCGTGGCCACCACAGGTGGACTCATGGAATGACAGCTCAACTGATCCGGGCTGAGCGGTGGCGCACTCACATCCACCGGCGACTCCAGCCGCGACACCGTCGAGGGCGACGAGGAGCTGGACAGCGAGGAGGCCACCTTCGTGAAGGCGCTACGCAACGGCTGCGGCGGCGGCGACACTGTTGCCTCTGGCGAGTCCACCAGCGGTATAACCAACGTCGGATCATCATAGACGCGCGGCGAGCGCATCATCAGCTGTGGATAGCGTTGGCGCGCCTCCAGCAGACTAATATACTCCAGAGCCGCCGGCGAGGGCGGCTGTGATGCGGCGGCACGCGGTGACAGATCCGTGGGAAAGTGATGCAACTGCAGCGGCTGCTGTTGCTGCAGTGCCTCCTGCAGGCGTGCCTGCTTCTCGGCCTGCTTCTGCTTGATGCGCTCATCGGGCATCATCAGAAAGGCCACATCAAAGGAGCGTTTCAATGTCGTCTTGACGCTGGGCGTTTCATTGTTGTTGTTGTTGTTAATGTTGTTGTTGGAATGCTGCTGCTGCTGCTGTTGCTGCTGCTGTTGTTGCTGCTGTGTCATTGTTGCTGCTGTTGCTGTGGGGCTGGTGGAGATGCGTAGCTCGGTCTGCTGTTGCGGCGGCGTTGTGCGACGCACGGCGGGATTCGCATGCGACGGCAGGCTATCCATGAGCAAGTTCATCGCACACTGGAATCGGACACTTCTGATATTTTTTTGCGTAGTCTCTGGCTCTCTAAGCTTTGATGCACTTGTCAACAAATGGATGCTGGTGGTTTTTGTAGCACCGTTCGATTCGAAGCTCTGTTTTCGACTGCTGCCCGCACGCAATCTGTTCCTCTTTAAGTACTCGTCATTGCCACCACCGGTGCAGCGAGTCCACTTGGAATTTTCATATTGTCCCATTCAAACGAAACTCTCCGCTCAATCGCGGCACTCGCACATCTGTCCCGATTCTGTTTGGACTCCCCGCCAGAGTCTGTTTCGACTGCTGCAGAGAGTCAAATTCGAATCTGCACCCTTATGCTTATGCTCTGGTGGTTGTTGTTGTTGTTGCTGCTGCTGCTGCTGGTTTCTGTGACCATAGCAATGGCTATTGCTCTCCCGCTCTCTCGGCGACCCATCTGCTTTGCCAGTTGCCAACATATTCTGTGGTTTTATTGTTGCAACAGCGCCTGGGCTCGCCTCCTGGTTGGCTGGCTGGCTGACTGGCATCCCGCTGAGGATTTTCTATTATATTTTTCCTATACTCGACATTGTATATCATATACTGCACAGTGGTTCAAGAGTGCTTGAATGTACATGCATTTAGTTTTGACATACTTATAAAACTAGAAATCTAGCTTTCAATTTAGGTTATATTCTCAATATTGTTTTTAAGTATTTTAATTTAACTTATCATTATTTGAAAAACTTTACAGAAAATTTAATTTTGAAATTAAGTTAAACTAATTATAGCAGAACATTGAATACCCTTTGTGACATATGAACGTAAATGAGCTTTATTTGATCCATATTTTTCCCATTTAGTACTGTCTTGTAGATATGTAGGTATCTTAAAAAAAATGAAACTTTAGACCAACTCTTCACATAGAGGTGTAGAATTTAGTAGTCCGATTTTGATAAGATTTTTCTTATACGTTATAGACCATGTTAATATTCTCCAATGCCCAGTTTGGTCAACATATCTTGAAAACCAAATAAGTTATTCATGCAAAAACTCAATTTATGACCGTATCGCATGATACGGTTGATTAATCAAGAATACATTTACATTATGCGATCAGAGACTTAACTTTCTGTGCGTTACAATTTTTGTGACCTCTACATAATATTACCCTCAAAAAACGCTTCATAAATCAATATTTTTACTTGAATACATATATCTAATATACATTTCTTTCATATTGAAACAATCATTGTTCAGCCCACTGTGCCATTTTGTTGGTGGCAAAGTTTCGAAAAGAGGCGGCGCTTAGATGTTGGCCGGGCTCTCTAGCTCTCGCTTCCAACCCCCTTCGGATGGCAATCTGTTGTCTATCTCGTTTACCCTCTCTAGCTATTTCCCTCTCTCGAATTGTGCGGCACTGCTGCACGATATATCCTTGATGTCCTTGTTGCAAGTGTTTCCGAACAGGTTGTTTTTGTCGATTTTTTGGCAGCACCAGCGAGATTGTCTGAATATGTATTCATGTTTTGTGTTGTCCTCGTGGCTGTTGCTGCTGCTGCTGCTCGTCCTCTTCTTGTTCTTGGTGTTGTTGTTTGTATTTTGAATATATGCTGCGCGTAGCTTTTACATATTGTATGCGAGCACATAAACATACAAACACACGCACACACACAATGCGCCAAATTTTGAGTAGGGCCTCATGTAGGCGACTGTTGAGCGCAAAAAGATTTTCCAAACTAAAATATTTATCCGTCTGCCTGTCGCTATATATGTTGTTATATAAAAAAAAAGAAAAAACAACCTCTTTACTGTCAGCCATTGTCCAGTAACAATGCCAAACAACAACAACAACAACAACAACTACAATAAATTGTGCAATGTTTTCCGTTCACTTTTCCATCTCGCTCTGCCAGCCGCTTTTTGGCTTTTACACTGCACTCCGAGCTCTGGGCAGGATGTGGCCACTGCTAGGGCGAAATATGTGTCTGTTATGGCCACGTTATGTTAGCCATGGACAATGTACAATCACACACACCACACACATGCATATATATACAATTGTATTGAAATTCCACGCCTTTCATTGCAATTGTTGTTCTTTTTGTTGTTTGTCTGCAGTTGGCAATTTAATGTTTGCATATTTTCAGGTGCTAATTGCTCCACTTGCCATATGAGCTGCATTTTTAATTAAAATTTATAGCTGCCACTATCTGCATTCTGTCCATGTGTGTGGGTGTGTGTGTGTGTAGGGGCATGTGTGTATTTGTTGGAGCCTATAATTCGTCTGTTCGCCATGTTTTCTGTCGACACAAAATTAATATTTAACACATGATTGCCTTCGACATTGGCATTTCATTAAAAATATTGTTTAGCTTATAATTAATTAATTGCACGCACAACTATTAAAGCTTAAGCGTTTATTAACACTTAAATAAAAAAGGATTGATAGGCTCAAGGCATAAAATATTAGGAAGAATACTAAATCTTGTGTCGAAGACGAATCTCCCTGTTCGATTCGAATTCTTAAAATCTTTTTTATAATGCTATTTCCGTCAACATTTATTTCCCTGTCAGCTTTGAAGACTTTCATTTAAGGATATTTAAGGACCTGCTTGCTTTTCCCTTCCCCCAACAGTTCTTGCCACACACACACACTCATGTGGCACGTGACTGCAATTTGAGTAGAGTGTAAATCCCAACACATTCGGCAAATTCACTCGAATATATTCAATGGAAATTAACGCAAATCTAGGATATACAAATCGAGCACAAAATTTGCTAGGGCCAAGGCAATGGCTAATCTACCCCTGAAGATCTGCTCGACTAAAACAATCTGATGAACTGTTTGCCATGTCAGTCTGAAGAGGGGGGTTGTTGCTGTCGATACATCAAACTGCCAAGTGACAAAGTGATTCCCAGGGCCTGAGCCTGGGTCTTTGCCTGGGCGCAGGCAACGCGCAAAAAGGCGTGAAATTGCCTTTGTGTGATTAAGTCAAGCCGCCAAGAGCAGGGGTTTTGGCTGGAAATGGGAAATACGACTGCGTCTTGGCAAAGCGAATTACAAAAAACTAAGATGACAATCTACAGACTAAGTTTCAGACAGAGCTACGTGCTCCTTATGCCGTGTCTTTGGCGGTTTTAATTACCGTGCCAGATAAGCAAAATGTAAATGGTAATTGTTTCTAGTTGGAAGTCCTTGCTGTGCGGCAGCCAGGTGGATGTTGTCCTGGAGACAGCCGACACCTTTTCTTACGGTTATTGTTAATGTTAATGCCTTGGCTGCTTTCTCGTAATCTGCGTTGTTTTGTGGAGTTCCGTTTGCTTCAGTATGGAACAGCTTCTAGCTGCCTGCCTGATGCTGAAGTCGGATGTTGGCTGCTTAGAAAGTTTCCGGCCCGTGCATATTGCAGCTCGATCTGCACTTGCTCAGCCAACCCTTATACATGGTATGTCCCTGGAGTATGTGCTGGTTCGAATTTATGCCCTGGTCTCGGTTCAATCAAGTGCTTTTCGCGCATTATATAAAAATTCGAATTGGATTTCAGAGCAGCAGCACCTAATTTGATGGGGGTTGGAGGGTGGTTTGTTGCTGCCCCTGTTGCTGTTTGTTTAAATACCGTGAATAACATGTGGTTTTTTCGAAGCATATGGCAAGGACTTTGTCACTATTTAGACGGCCGTCTGCTCTGTACTTGTTCTCGTTCAAATCCTCCAATTAGACTGTCATTCATTTAAACGGATTAAAAATCCCCGCACGGGGGTCGCTAACAAGGCCCGAGGGCCGTTCTCTGCTGCTGCTGCTGCTGACGGTGGTGTCTGGTGGCATTGGTGGTGCTGATGGTGGCGGCTCTTGTGGTTTAGTTGTAGTTGCTGCCCGCCTAAGCGGCTGAGCTATGCGGATTAGAGCCCTTGTTTTGGTTACCAAATCGCCTCATGACGACAATCTCTCCATGCCGTTTTGTGGCTGTCAATGTCGATTGCTGCCGTCGTGTGCGTTCAATCAGCACGGAGCTGTAGTCACAATCAAGCTCGGCAAATTTTTATGCTGTCATATGCAAAATGCCAACGAAGCAATCGCATGATATCAGACTTCTGACTCGGCACCTGCATTGGAAATGGTGCCACCTTAAACACCCCGCACCAGTCCGCCATTCGCGTGGGGCTTTATCTAAAATGCTTACGCTCGAAAAGCTTTCAATCGAGTGGTGCATAAATATTTATGTTCAACGGCAGTATGCGAGAATATATTGCCAGAATACTTGCCTGCATGCGTTCAAAATCCTTTTCTTACAATAACAACAACAAATCCTTGCAACAGTTCACAGTTGCCAAGTGTTGAATTCAACAGCGAAGCAAGGCCAGCGGCCAGAATGTCAAGAACTCTTGAGCTGGGACAGGAACAGGAACGGGAAGAGAGACTTCTGGCTACTTAAACTCTTCAAGTGGCTATAATAATTCCATTGTGATTATGTTTGCATGTAGGGCATACATCTATTGCTGGGGTTCATAAAAATATCTATCCTGTATTCTGTAAAAGCGACTTTCATAAATATAAGAAATAGTTCGACTTCGAAAATCTTTCCATTTTAAAGTGGAGTCCGTTTTAAAGATTTTTAAATATTTCTATAATTTTTATACAGCCAAGAGATCTTAAAGATAGGTTTTAAAATATTTATAAATTTACAGTATAACAAATGCAAGATAAATTCTCCATATTCTACTTTGAGCATTTTCTTATGGCTTTTCTTAAAACCTTCGCTTATTTTTCCACTCACTTAATTTGTAGCTTGTTGTCTAGATTTCACCTTATGCATAGGCATAATATTGATTATATAGATAAGGTATCGCATAAAGTACACAACCTCTGTACAACCTAAGGCTTTGTATTTTATGAACCCCATGTAGGGTATTCATATTTCGGCATTTAATAAAATTCATTACATTTGCGTCAAGCATATTCTTAGCGCGTGGACAACATTTGTTAAGTGCAGGTCCTTCGGCTGTTTCGACTGCT